CCCTCAAGACTGCATATTTAAAATCACCGGTGAAAGGTTGCCACACACCTTCACCTCATATCCATACGGCAACTGTAATCATGTCCCAACCTGTTTCTGCGTTTAGTAAAATAGTTCGACTGCACTTGGTGGGAAGCCATGCAATCGTGCTCGATTTAACACAGTCTCCGTGCGTTACCTTTGCCTTTCAGCGCGGGTCCCCTACACGGTGGTACTGTTCCCCGGGTAACTACGGGAACTAAATTATTTGATTTATTTTAAATTTTTTAAAATTACAAAATGATTTATACGGTTGTGGGACGGGGTGTGTTTAAGACGGAGTGGGCGTGAAGCCCTGCAAACAAGGTTGAGAATCCCCGGCCTAGAGCTTTTACCAAATATACCCCAGCCTCCCGGTCAACACATTTTTTTTCGTTCCAACCTACTTCACGTGGTAGTCCTAATTCTATGACTCCCGTGTCCACATTTAGCCATAAATTCTCACGCCTGTCATTGTGACTACGTCGCGCTCCTTATCCTCCGTGGCTTCCTGTAACTTGACCAGAGGCCATCTCTCGGACCTTGCATACCTGTACTGATGCTCTCAGTGATAGTAGTTTAAACATATCAAAATAACTATACTTGTATAAAAGAATTATGTTTAAGATGTCTGTCATTCAGTGTTGTTAAGAGCAATTCTTTATAACAACATTCTGCTTTTCCTGTGAGTCACATTGCTTAAGCCCCCACCCCCTGAAAATCGTCACAAAAATCTCCCCCCCCCCTCCCCCCCCCTTTTTTTAAAAAAAAAAGACGCGTGACGTCATGGATGGCTCCTACATAGTAAAACAAAATAATGAGTTCGACAAGAAATTTGAAGCAAAATTCTAAAGTAAAAACAGAAGAAAAAAAAAGATTCGATCAATTTACCGTCGACGAAATTTCTTTCGATCGAATTTCGGGATACGGTTTTATGTGGATGTCCCATAGTTCCATCAATCTGGCATTAAATGTGTCTACATTGACGGATGTAAA